GCAGGGCCATTGTGTAAATGGTCTCAGAGAACAGAGAATTATTTTCAAAGCCTTGAGGGCTAATGTTATGTATTCTGCTGACTTGCTTAGTACCTGTTATGCCTTCTTTCCCTCCAATTTCTCCTATTTGTAATGGAAATATCTAGCTTGTGCCTGTTCTGCCAGTGTACTTTGGAAGCAGATAACTTGTATTCTAGATTTCACAGATGAAGAAGAATTTTTGGATTTTGGACTTGGAGTTGATTTAAGACTTTTGCAATGATATGATGGGGTGAATGTGTTTTACATGTAGCAAAGACATGAATTTTTGGGAGCCAAAGTGTGGAATATCATGGATTGAATTATGTCCCCAAAAATATATGTCAACTTGGTTAGGCCACGATTCCCAGTATTGTGTGGTCTTCCTCCATTTTGTGATTGTAATTTTATATTAAATAGGATTAGGGTGGGATTGTAGCACCCTTACTAAAGTCACATCCCTTTTCCAGTGTAAAGGAAGTTTCCCTGGGGTGTGGCCTGCAACACCTTCTACCTTATAAGAGATAAAAGGAAAGGGAATCAAACAGAGAAAAGGAAACTCATACCACCAAGAAAGCAGTGCTGGGAGCAGAGTGCATCTTTTGGACCTGGGTTCCTGCATGGAGAAGCTCCTAGTCCAGGAAAGATTGATGACAAGAATCTTCCCCCAGAGCCACCAGAGAAAACCTTCCCCCTGGAGCTCATGACCTGAATTTGGACTTGTAGCCTACCAGACTGTGAGAGAATAAATTTCTCTTTGTTAAAGCCACCCACGTGTGGTATTTCTGTTATAGCAGCACTAGATGCCTAAGACACCCAGCCATATTTTGAGTGCCTTCCAACCCGAGGGGCGCATCTTCTGGCACTATATCGTACAATGTTCCACTGCTATTCGTATATTCGTAAGGTTTTCACTGGCCAGTTTTTTTGGAAGTAGACTGCCAGGTCCTTCTTTCTAGTTTGTCTTAGTCTGGAAGCTCTGCTGAAACCTGTCCACAAAGGTTGACTCTGCTGGCATTTGAAATACCAATGGCAAAGCTTCCAGTATCACAGCAACACGCAAGACAACACAGTACAGCAAACTGACAGATGTGTGGTGGCAGGGACCTTAGCATAGTGATTAAATGCTTGAATCTTGGTGCTATGTCTTGTTTCCTCATAAGTAAGACAAAGATGATAATAACGATACCTATCCTGCAGTGATGCTGTGAGGATCAAATGAGTTAATACATATACAGCATTTAGTACAATATTGAGACACAGTGTAGTGAGCACTTAATAAAAGTTAGTTATTATTATTTATTGTTAGTTAGTTATTAAATCTATAGTTTCACTGATGCAAATACGTACATAGTACACTTTCCATGCATTACTACACTAACAATTTCTGTGTCTTTGTTTTTGTTGTTATTGAGTCAGCCTCCGACTCATGGTGACCTCATGCACAGCGGAATGGATTTTTGTGATTCAGGGGGTTTTCACTGGCTGAGTTTTTGGAAGTTTTTGGAAGTAATCCAGGGGATTTTCACTGGCTGAGTTTTTGGAATTTTGCCCTAAGTCTTCATTTGCCAGGACTTTATTCCTAGTCTGGCTTAGTTTGGAAGCTCTGCTGAAACCTGTTTAGCATCATAGCAACATACAAGACCCCGCTGATAGCTGGGTGGTGGCTGTGCATGAGGTGCATTGGCCAGGATTGGAACCAGGGTCTCCAACATGGAAGTTGAGAATTCTACCACTGAACCACCGCTGTCCTCGTCAGTCTCTTTACTCCGGGCTAACACTAGCTCCTTTTCCACAACCAGTGAGAGAAGGAAAGAATGAAAGAAGATGAGGAAAGGAGGACTCATTCTGTACTAAGTGTGCTGACAAAAAGTTTGGGTTCTGGTCTTTTTCTGCCCAGATGGTCGGTACTCCTGGAAGTATCAGAAGAAGGAAATATTCTAGCAGTGAGGATATTCCTAATAGAATGATTTTAGGATTCTTAGGGAAAGAGTAGCAAGATGTGCTCTTTGCTGATGGATCTTGTCACCATTACAGGTGTGTATTTTGCTAGTGGAAAGAACACTGAACCAGGAATTTTGCCCCAAGTCTTCATTTGGCTAACTTCTCAGCCTTTGTTTCTCTAAGTGTCACTTCCTCAGAGATGTCTTCTCTGTCTTGCAATTTAAATTAGCTCCTGTCACTCTCTCTTATGGTTTCTTGTTCTTTCTCGTTAATCTTTATTCAATTTTTAGTTATGGCTATTTTGTATATTTTTAAAATGCCTTCCCTCCCAGTGGATTGCAAAGTTCTAGCGGGCAGGGATTAAGTGCCTTTAATTGACCAAGTACAATCACTTAACTTTAACTTTTTAATCTGTTAAATGAGGATGGTAATACTGCTTTTGCCTATCTCACTGAGCTGTGAAATTAAAAAAGATAATACATGTGAAAGTTCCTTGTAATTCATGTGACAATGTGCAAACATTTGTTATGCTTATTGCCATGTCTATTTGAATGTGCATCACAAACTGAGTACTTGTGAAATGGACTCCTAGACAGATTAGTATTTTGTTAAATGAGATAATATAAGAAAGTGCTTAAAACAGGGTGCACACTGTGATAGCTCTGATTATTAAAAGCCAAAGATGGCAGCCCCAACCTCTAAAAATGCCACATTCGTGTTCATAGTTCATCCATAATGGGCTTGAGATAGTTAAAAAGGAGCGCCCATGGCTGGAGATGTCTCAACATGTGAGACAGCAAGTAACACAGAGTCAATGAGTTCTGTTCACTGGGGAGGTTTTTCAAGTTAGTCCTCAACCAAGATGTTCCCTTCCTATCACAAGGCAAGGATAGTCAATATGACACCTTCCCCTGTCCCACGGCAGAGAGATTGCAGAGGAAAAGAAGACATTTTCAGAAAAATAGTTGCTGCTGTCAGCATTTCATGGAGCATGAATCTCTTTAGGTTCAATATATATGTTATGATATGTGCATCATCATATTCGTAACAGGGAAAGTTGGAGCAGGGAGAGATGCATTTGATGAATACACTGCTCCTGGGCTGAAGTACCTCTGCTTTGGATAGAACAGTCAGGGAACAAGAAATTCTGAGGGCCAGTGTGGGGCATAAATCACCAAGGGTGGGAATCAAAAGATCACAAGGTACTAAACCAGGAAGATAAAAAGAAAAAGAAAATCATATTGGACAGAACAGACCCGCTTTCCTTCACTGGACTATTCTTGGGTTTTGTCCTATTTCTTTGTTGTTGTTAGCTGCTGTTGACTCCAACTCATTGTGACCCCATGTACAACAGAACAAAATGTTGCCTCGTCCTGTGCCATCTTCACGATCATTGGTATGCTGGAGTCCATTGTTGCGGCCACTGTGTATTTTGAGTGCCTTCCAGCCTAGGAGGCTCATCTTCCAGCACTATATGAGACAATATTCTGCTGTGATCCATAAGATTTTCATTGGCTAATTTCTTAGGGAGGGAGGATTAGGAATTGACAACATAACTACATTATACATTCCTTGTTTTTTGGTGTGTATATAATTATGGTTTAATTGACCATTTAGTGAACCACATATAGTTTGCATGTTCTATGGTATCTGTGGTTCTCCAAGGACAGCAGATTCCTTCTTCTTGGAGGACAGCCCAGATTTTTCCCAGACCCTTGGCTCAGGCCTGAGTGAGGCTTCAGTAACAGTGTCTTTATACAGTTGTGACTGCCTTGAGCAAAACCAAAAGTGAGCAGTGAGTCCCCGGAAAAAGTCAGGATAGGTAAAAGATCAAAGAGAATAGAACTAGGCCCTAGGACGGGAGCGAGAAATGGACTGGACACTGGATCCACAGGAAGACAAAGCTCCATTGTAGATGCAAGTTAAGTAACAAAGACCCGGGTTGAGAAAGTGGGATTAGCAAACGGCTACATATGACTGGACACAGGAGGAGATGGGCTGGTGGCCACACAGGTCAGGGAGATGAGAATTAGAAGAAGGTGGGGAAAAAAGCTGTAATAATTTAAAAAAAATATTAATTTGTTAAATGAGTGATGGCTACTAGCATAGTTGTTTTCTTTTAGTCCCAAAAAGATTGGGGTTAACTTTATTCTTATCTATCATGGAACTGTGACCACAAAACAAGGCTTATATTTAAGGCCAGCTACTGTCTACTCATGTTCCATCTGCATTTCTCCAATCATATTCAACGTGGTGTGAGAAATGTGCTATAATAGAAGAAAGTACAAGACATCATGGGAGAATCAGAGAGACAATCACAAGTTAAGAGAGTCAGGGAAGTCCTTTGGAAACCTGTTATTGATATGAGAGGTAAAACCCAAGGGCAGCTATGACTGGGTTACTGTAGGGAGAGACCAGGCCAGAACCATGTGTTTGAGGCTATATTCATTTTCTAGGGCTGTTATAATAAAGTACCATAAACTGAGTGGTTTCAAACTACAAAAATTTATTCTCGCACAGTTTTGGGGATTAGAAGTCCATATTCAGGGTGTTGGAAGGGTCATGCTTTCTCTGAAGGCTATAGGAGAAGATCCTTCCTGTCTCTTTCAGCTTCTGGTGGTCCCATGTGTTCCTTGGCTTGTGGCAGCATAATTCCTTTCTCTGTCACTGTCTTCACATGGCTGTCTTCCCTCTGCATCTCTTTATCTTCGTGTCTCCTCTCCTATTTTTATGAGAACACTAGTCATATTGTATTAGGGCCCACCCTACTCCAGTATGACCTATGTTATCTTAACTAATTATATCCGCAAAGATGCTACTTCCAATAAGGTCACATTCATAGGTACTGGGGGTTAGGATTTGAACATGTCTTTTTAGGGGACACAAATCTTCCAAGAGCAAAACAAGGGTGAAGGAAAGTAAAGAGAGACCCACAGAAAGGGCCTGGAGCTGGGCAAGCACAAAACTCAGAGGCTGAGGGTAAGAAGGTAAATGTAACTTTACCATTTTCTCAAGGGCTGACTCTGATCTCTAGGAACAGGTAGAACAGTTATTCAGAAAAGTCATTGCTTGATCTCCCTGCCCTTAGTCCTGGGAGGAAAGTGTTCATGCTCTCACAACATACCTCATGTTAACTGTGAAGGTAAATATTAACAGAGTCACATGTTAATATTTAAGCAGGGTATTAAAACTAATCCTCCAAAATGAAAGTACAGTCGGAAAGTAACAGCACGAAGTGGCGTATGAGGTGGAGGCGTGTGTGTCCTTCTGCTGAGGAGATGTGAGGTTTACTGAGGAGACAGAGGAGAGCTTTGTGTACCGGGAGCAATGAGCAGGCTCAGACTTCTCTATCTCTCAGTCCTGCTTCACATTCCTCAGGAACATGCAGAGCCTCCTCTTTTCCACTCTTCTCATCACTGGCTTGTTACAGGTAAGTCCTCTCTCGTTACTCTTTCCCTTTAGGAGACTATAGTAGTTCTTATTTCTTCAGGTCAAAAATAAAAAGAGAAGAAGAAGATGAAGGAAAAAGGAGAATAAATTACTTATGGTACTATTTCATGAAGAATAGGGAGCCATTTTCTACCCCGAATGAAGTGCCATTTTAGTTTATTGGCTTCATGAGAGAAGTGTAAAACATTTCTTCCTCTCAGGTAATGACACTTAATCCTACTTTTGATATGTTTGAAAAGCCCCCAAACTTTAATGATATATTTTTTTATCTGAGTATAACACACACCGCAGCCGTCCTGCCTGGAATGGTGGATTAAATAGTGCCTCTTCAAGCCGGTTCCAGGCTGAATTTCAACTTTCATAGTCATTTGCAATATGTGCAAAGAGCCACTGGAAAAACTGATTTTGACAACAACTTGCGTCAGTTAAGCCTGTCCTTGTTTGAAAGGAGCACTTTGGAATAAAAATAGACATCTTTTAAACATCATATTACTTTGTCTTTTCTCAACTTCTGTACTTTTCTCTTTCCATGAAAGGGAGTCAGTCCATGGAGAGAGAAATATTTCAAGCAACAGCCCAAAGGGTAATTTAATAGAGCAATGTACTGCTTTAGCATTTTTTGATAAGAAAATTAAAACAGGGTGGTTTATTTATTGATTTATGAATGTGGGGGAAGTTATTGCTTATTTAGAGCTCAGAGCTTTTGAAATGGTGTGGGGTATAGAAAACATGGAAAGGTGTCTGTGAGTTTATTGCTGATTGGGGTAGTAAATAGTAGATATAGATCAGAAAAGAAGATATTGCAAACTTGTATCGGGAGAACCCTAAGATTTCAAAAGGATCATAACAGGAATGTCAGTGGTACAGTTCATCCCCGCAGTTGTGTGGAGGGGGGCACACTGCCCCAGCAGAAGTGTGATGGGGCTACCTCCTGTGCCACCATTCTTGAGAAAAGCCCTGTCATTACTATGGATTAAAAGATACTATATATTTTTAAACAGAAACTATTCCATCATAGAGAACAGTGTTTCTGTGAAAGAACTTAACATCCCATCTGACCCCCACACTAAAACAAAACAAAAAAATTAAAAATAAAAACCAACACAGAAAGATATATAGGTCAGTGAGAAAGCATTGTTTTGTGCTTAACTTTGCCATAATGAATTTTTGAAGAGTCTGATGTCGTTGTTGTTGTTAGGTGCCATTGAGTCGGTTCTGACTCATAATGACCCTATGTACAACAGAATGAAACACTGCCTGGTCCTGTGCCATCCTCACAATTGTTGCTATGTTTGAGCCCTTTGTTGCAATCACTGTGTCAATCCATCTTGTTGAGGGTCTTCCTCTTTTTTGCTAACCCTCTACTTTGCCAAGCATGATGTCCTTCTCCAGGGACTGGTCCCTCCTGATAACGTGTCCGAAGTATGTAAGACCAAGTCTCACCATCCTTGCTTCTCAGGAGCATTCTGGTTGTACTTCTTCCAAGACAGATTTGTTCATTCTTCTGGCAGTCCATGGTATATTAAATATTCTTTGCCAATACCATAATTTGAATGCATAAATTCTTCTTCAGCCTTCCTTATTCATTGTCCAACTTTTGCAGAAGAGTCTGATAATACCTACAATTTATTGAACATCTGCTATGGGCCAAGCACTATGCTAGGTACTTCAGTCCTTTAATCCTTGAAACAACCTTGCAAGGTGGATATTATTAACCCTATTTTACAGATGAGGATTGAGGCTCAAAGATCAAATGATAGAAAAATTAAGACAACAGAGCTATTCTGAAGCTTAGATCTGTTTTCAAAACCTTTATTCTTTCTATTAAACAATTCAGATGACTCTTTTGTTGTTTTGAGAATTTGCTTTTGAAAACAATCAAAGTATGTTTGAATAAAAGAGAAAAAAAATTCCCTTATATTTACCCACATATTTCTAGGGCTCTTCATCTCTTCCTGGCAGTTCAAACCCACCAGCAGCACTGCGGGAGAAAGATGTGGCATTCTTCCAAGATTTACAGACTTGAACCTTATCCTGTGGGTTGCTATGAGTGGGAATCGACTCGACAGCAATGGATTTTGGTTCATCTCTTTCTATATTTCCGAGTTATAATTTCCCTTCAGATTGAAGATCTCCCTTTAGTATTTCTTGCGAGGCAGGTCTACTAGAAACAAAGTCTCTCAATCTTTGTTTATCTGGGAATGTCTTTTATTTCACTTCCACTTTTGAAGGATAGTTTCACTGGCTATAGAATTCTAGGTTGATAGGTTTTACTTTTTCTTTCAGCACTTTAAAGATGTCATTCCATTGTCTTTGGTCTTCTCCCTTCTCCTCCTCTTCCTTCTTCTACTTCTTCAAATTCATGTTTCATTCTTATTTTTATTTTCCTGTATGTAGTGTTTCCTTTTTCTCAGGCTGCTTTTGTAATATCCTCTTTATCTTTGGTTTTCAGCAGTTTAACAATGATGTGCCTAGCTGTGTTTTTTTTTTTTTGTTTTTGTTTTTTGGTATTTATCTTATCACTGGAATTTTTGCATCTGTGGTTTGTTTTCTTTTATGAATTTTGGAGAAATTTTTATCTTTTTTTATTCAAATATTTCTTTTGTGTCATTCTTCTTCTTTTTCTTCTCCTTCTGGGATTCTAATTACACATATGTTTTACCATTTAAAATTGTCCCACAGATCTTAGATGTTCTGTTCTATTTTTTCTTACTGTTTATTTTCTCTGTATTTCAGTTTAGATAATTTCTATTGGCAAATTTTCAAGTTCACTAATTCTTTCTTTGCTGCGTACAGCCAGCTGATGAACCATCAAAGAATTGTTAATCTTTAATATCATGTGTTTTTATATCTTGCATTTCCATTTGGCCTTTTCTTTAATAATTTTATATCTGTTAAAATTTCTGTTCTGTTCACACATGTTGTTGGCCTTTTCAACTAGATCCTTTATTATATTTATCACAGCTATTTTTAAACCCCTGTTTAGTAATTCCAGCATCTGAGCCAGCTCTGTGTTGGTTCCATTGTTTTATTTCTTGAAAATGGGTCATATTTTCTTTGTGTGTTTTGTAATTTTTGATTGAATGCTTGTCATTATGAATAAAAAGAACAGTAGAGACTAAGGTAAATAATATTTTTACCCAGAAATGGCACACTTCTTCTTCTCTTAGGCCATTAGTATGGAAGGTTGAGTTGACCTAGTCCAGTGGTTCTCAACTGGTGGCAACTTTCCCCTCATGAGACATTTGGCAATGTTTGGAGACTATCACAACTGGGGGAGTGCTACTGACATCTAGTGGGTAGAGGCTAGGTATACTGCTAAATATCCTTGGCATGGAATAGTCTCCAACCAACAGTTATTTGGCTCAAAATGCCAATAGTGCTGATGTTGAGAAATCCCAATCTAGTCTGTAGCTGAGCAGAGTTTGGGCTTTTTTATTTCTTTAGTTACATTCATGTCCCACAGATAGCACCCAGTGCTAGACTGCCAGTGTTTCATACTTAATGTGAGACAGAGTGCTGGAGGGTTTCTCTAAGTTCTCCTCCTTCACTCTCAGATTTCAGCAGCCCCTGCATGCCTGTGCCAGAGAGGGAGTCTCTCTCAGTGCTCCTGTCCCTTCCCCAGTGATAGACTGCTGCTGCCTGGTACTTAGTGCAAGGAGACAAAGCCTTAAGTTTGATGTAATCAGGAGGTTTCTCAGTTCTCCAGCTCAGGTCTAAGTTTAAGGCAGACCCCACATGCCTGTGCCTCAGGGGTGGGGTTCTCTTAGTGTTTGCGCCCTTTCTCCAGCAGCAATCTCTGCCTTGTACTCCATGCAGGGTCTGGAGTGCAGGTGGGTGTCCTGCCCTCTAGCCCCCAGTAGCAGAGGAGTGCTGTCTCATACTTTGCAGGATCCAGAGCACAGGCTGGTTACTCTCAGTTTTCTTGCTCTACCCTCAGACTTAGGCAGGATTCTCTCCCAGTTTTTCTGCCCAGCTACCAATATTTCACATGGAACTCCAGTGGAATTTCTGGAAAAAAGTTGGCAGGTGGTTACCAGTTCCTCTTTTGTCTGTAGCTCCCTCGGATTCTAAACTGTTACATAATCCACACTCAGCCTTTAATAATTTGTTAAAATTTTAGCTGTTTTCTTCTACTACTACTCTGCCAAATGTGGAATAGTTTATGTGCCCTTTTTTCTTGAGGATTTGTGTGTGTGTGTGTGTGTGTGTTTTTAATATATAAGTGCTTTATTGAGATAGAATCCACATGCCATATAATTCACCCATTTAAAGCATGTAATTTAATGGTATAGTTACAGAGTTATGCAGCCATTACCACAATCAAATTTAAATCAAAATAAACCCTGCCCCAATTAGCAGTCACTCCTCATTTCCTCCCAACCTCCCAGTCCTGGCCAATAATTATTCTACTTTCTGTCCCTAGGAATATACCTATTTTGGGCTTTTCATATAAATGGAATAATATGTGATCCTTTGTGACTGGCTTCTCTTAGTATAATGCTTTCAAGGGTCATCTATGTTATAGCATGTATCAGTACTTAATTTTTTTTATTGTTGAATAATATTCCATTGTATGGATATATCACATTTTATTTATCCATTCATCACTTAATGGACATTTAGATTGGTTCTACTTTTGGCTATTATGAATAATGCTTCTATGAACGTTTGTGTACAAGTTTTTGTGTGGACATATTTGTGTAAGTTTTTGTGGACATTTGACTTCAGCTCAAAGATGCGTTCAACTATATATACATAAATAAAATTTTAAAGGCTATTCAGTTCATTCTCGTTATTAGGGTCCTGAAATATGTCTGAAAAACATTGATAAAATTTATTGATGTATAGCTCAGTGACTAATAGAATGGGCTCCAGGGTCAGATGCTTCAGAGTTAGAATTCTAGCTTCACAGCTGATTTTCTAGGTGACCTTGGACAGGTTAATTTATTTCTGTAAGCCTGAGTTTCATAATCTGTCATATGAGGGTAACAATAATATTTCTCTTATATTGATATATTATTCTCTATCCTCACATTGTAGTCTTCTTTTTTAAATATATTTTTTATTTTGGAATAATTTTAGATTTATGGAAAAGTTACAAAGGTAGTACAGGGAGTTCGCATATAACCCTCACCTAGTTTTCCCCAATGTTAACATCTTGCATTACTATGGCATATTTGTCCAAACTAAGAAACTGACATTAGTATAGTAGTATTAACTAAACTCTAGCCTTTACTTGGATTTCACCAGTTTTTTTCCATTAATTTCCTCTTGTTGTTCTAGAATCCAGTCCAGGGTGCTATATTGTATTTAGTTCTCATGTCTCCCCAGGATATAATGTAGTTTTGAATGAAATAATCCATTTGAAGTCCTTAGCAAAGTGCCTGAGATGTAGAAACCACTTATTAAATGCTATCTATTAATAAACTAAGATCCCTGGGTAGTATAAATAGTTTGCCCTGGACTACTAATCTAAAGCTTGGAAGTTCAGATCCACCCTACCAGCACCCTGAAGAAAGACCTCGCAATCTGCTTCTGTAAACATTACAGCCAAGAAAACCCTATAGAGCAGTTCTGTTCTGTAACACATAGGATTGTTATGAGTTGGAAGCGACTAGATGGCAACAGGTTTTGTTTTTGGTTATTAATAAACTATTTTGATGATGATGATGTTGTAATGATGAGTGACTTAACATTTTTTACATTCTTCAGAAAACCTCCTTGGATCTTAAGATACCAGAGATTTAGGAAGACATAATCCAAGCAATTATTTCAGTAAATAGTGATGGGTTTTGTGATAAATGTCTCGTGGAAGAGAAAAAGAACAAAGGAGGTGCATAATGGTAAAGCACAATTCTGCAAACTAGACTGGAAGAAGAGTCAGAAAAATAAACAGTCCTAGAAAATGTATTGTCTCAGAACAACACATTGCCCAAGGGAAAATAAAGTTCCAAGTTATTGGGTTCTTCATAGTTGTAAATGCTGCAGAGAAACTAGGGAGAATTCCTTCATTCATTTACTTACCCATCAGATCTTTGTTGAACATGTAGTTTTTATTAGATACACTATGCTGAGATTGAAATACAAGATTAAGAATATACGGTTGTGGCCTCAGGAGTTTACTTTCTAGTAGAGAGCCTGACCTGTTCAAAAGTAATTCAATAAAATGTCATTGGTGCTCTGCCAGAGGTGAAACTGGAGCACAAGTAGGAAGGGAGTGGTCAATTCTAACTTGGAGGGAGGAATCTAGGAAAGATTATATAGAAATGCTTCAAGATTAAAGGATACACAGGCATGCCCCCAGGTGAGTGGGTTTGGGAGTGAGCATTTCAGTGAGGAAAAGTATGGAGAAGAAAAATCACATGGTGAGTATAGTAAACTGCAAGGCATAGGAGGAAAGTGTGTTGAGAGCCAAGACTAGAGAGGTAGGCATGATCCAGAACAGACAGGACTTTAGATACCGTGCTTAGAAGTTTGGACTGCGTACTGTAGACAGTAGGGAGCCACTGATGGATTTTAAGGAGAGAAGTAATAAAACCAGATATGTTTTTAAGAGCGATCCCACCAGCAGAGATGTGGTAGATGCATTTCAGGAGTCATTCTTGGGGGAGGGAGCATAGTTAGAAAACTATTGCTACTGCTTAGGTAAACAAACCCTCGCTTAGGTAGTAGCAGTGAAAATGGGGAGAAGTGACCGGTTCCACTGACATTATGATAATAGAATAAGAAGAATTATTCACTGAGTGGTTATGGGAGGTGAGGGAGGGTGAGATGATCTGGATGGTTCCTAGCTTCCTGACTCCAAATTTAGAGAAGCTCTCTGGGGAGAAAGATGATGAGTTTTGGATATGCATTTTGCCTTTGGACAGTCCAGTGGAGATGTCAGGTAGGCAGTCAGCTACATGGGTAGAGAGTTCAGTGAAGAAGTCACAGCTAGAAGCTTAGTTCTGAAGCTTGCATAGGGTGGAAATCAAAGACAAGAGATGGAATTGCCAAGAGACAGTGTGTAGAGTGAGAAGAGCAATACACTAAGGTCAGGACTTAGGAAAACACCAGTAAGTCTACACTTTAAGTCAAATGCAGGGGAACAGGAGCTTGCAAAAAGATTGAGGAAGTGTATTGAGAGCAAGGAGGAGCGAACAGTGAGATAGAAGAAGAAAGAGTGATGTCTTGGAAGCCAAATGAAGAAAAGTTTGTTTAAAAAAGACTGATCAATTGTGTCAAATGCTGATCAATATTTTGATTACTATGATTATTATGATTCATCACACTATGTTCTACCTATTTGGGGAAAATATTCTAATCTTATAACACCGCTGAAATTAGTTTGAGAAACCTTCTAACATTACCTTTATTATCCAACGAAGTTCTGCTGCAGGGCACAGGGCACTGGGCCATTGGACATGACACCTGAAGAAAGCCCTGGAGAAGTATCAGAAGTGCATCAGCGTAAGCAGTTTTGTCACTGGCCCTGTAAATGCCCTCATCAGAAGCCCAGGTGCCCTCCTGGTGTGAGCTTGGTGAGGGATGGCTGTGGATGCTGCAAAATCTGTGCCAAGCAACCAGGGGACATCTGCAACGAAGCCCAACTCTGCGACCCGCACAAAGGGCTGTATTGTGACTACTCAGCAGACAGGCCTAGGTATGAGACTGGAGTGTGTGCATGTAAGTATCTTCTTCTGGATGTGTTGGTAAAGGTTAAGTCTAGATAATTTTTTCCCCACAGTTGTTAATATGGAATGATCAGCTTAGTTTGGCTAAATATGAAGTGGGTTTATAGTTTTCATGTGTCAATGGGATTGCCTCCAAAATATTAGATAGCATGTGAAATTGGCAGATGCTTACACAAGTTCAGATATGTATTATTTTTGTTGCATTTAAGTGATCTTGCAGTTCTTTTCAGGTAATTGATTTTAATGATAGGAAATGAGAGAAATTATATAGAGTCCGAGTTCTTAAAACTGCTACAAATGACAGTTTTTGTTAATACTGCCAAAAGCAATCTGAATTTAGCCCTTTCTGTAACTAAGAGCTAATTCTGCTTAAAATGTAAGGATGCTTATCTAGTATTCAGACATACTACTTTAATCTCAGTCTTCCCAACTAACCATTGAATTAGTGTATTTTTTTTGCTGCAGCAAATTTGTAAAAAGAGGTGTCGTCACCTCAAATCACAACCCGATCCTCAGCTTTATGAGTCTAAGTTCTGGAGACTGATTCAGGCCATCTACACCTACAACACATTGGCAACAATTCAGGATGCCAACTTAGGATAAAAACAACTGCTAAGGGAAGAGAAATACTCATGCAGTGGGCAGCTTAGTTACTATGTAGAAAACTCTTAAGTTTGCCTGTGAGCATGGAATGAGAGCATATCCTTGGAGTCTGACTGTGTAGAGTCATTCAAGTTTTAAAAGCCTGTTGCCCCTGACAGCACTATGTAATACTATATTATATTAAGAGTGTAGACTTTGGGTTCAAATGTCGATTGTTCTAAATGCTAATTGAGTGACCTTGATCAAGTTACTTAACCTATCTGACTCAGTTATCTCATATGTATTTATTTATCTTTTAGAGTTGGTAGAGGAATCAAATGAGATAATGACATAAAACCTATACACCTAACACATTATCTGTTATATGGGAGGCTCTCAAAAGTGTTAGCTATATTTATGCAAATTCTATGGGGGGCAAACATGACCTATCAGACTCTGGCATTCAGGATACCACTTTCTCCCAAATAGTGCCGGGCAAGTTATTTCATTAACTTAAAAAACAATTATTGAGCATCCACTACTATGGCTAGGTGCTTGGGACACAAAAGTTGGGGGGAGAGATACAGGTCGGTCCTGCTCTCACAGAGTTAAAGTTGATTATGTAAGACAGATCTTTCCATAAGTAATTTCACATACAATATGATGAGTGTTTTAACAGAACACAGAGGCTGGAAATAATCTATAACTGGAGTCACAGAGACCTCAGGGCCAATTTTGGGCCACGGCCTGTTTTTATAAAGAAGTTTTATTAGAACACAGCCACACTCAGTCATTTACATATAGCCTATGACTGCTTTACAATGGTCGAGTCCAGTAGTTGCAACAGAGACAGCATAGCCTGCAAAGGCTGAGATAGTTATTTGGTCCTGTACAGAAAGTTTGCGATTCCTGATCTAGAACAATGCTTTTTAAAAATGTTTGGTCTCAGGATCCATTTGTTAGTTGCTGTTAGGTGCTGTCAAGTTGGCTTGACTCATTGCGACCCCATGTACAACAGAAGGAAACACTGCCTGGTCCTGTGCCATCCTCATGATCATTGCTATGTTTGAGCCTATTGTTGCACCCACTGTGACAGTCCATCTTGTTGAGGGTCTTCCTCTTTTTCGCTGACTCTCCAGGTTACCAAGCATGACGTCCTTCTACAGAGACTGGTCCCTCCTGATAACATGTCCAAAGTCCGTAAGACCAAGTCTCGCCATTCTTGCTTCTCAGGAGCATTTTGGCTGTACTTTTTCCAAGACAGATTTGTTTGTTCTTCTGGCAGTCCATGGTACATTCAATATTCTTTGCCAACACTATAATTCAAAGGCATCAATTCTTCTTCTGTCTTCCTTATTCATTGTCCAGTTTTGCATGCATATGAGGTGATTTGGAGCCCTGGTGGTGCAGTGGTTAAGTGTTTAGCTGCTAACCAAAAGGTTGGCAGTTCGAATCCACCAGCTGCTTCCCTGGAAACCCTATGAGGACAGTTCTACTCTGTCCTATAGGGTCGCTATGAGTTGGAATCCACTTGCCAACAACGGGTTTTTTATGAGGCGACTGAAAACACCATGGCTTGGGTCAGGCACACTTTAGTTTTCAAAGTGACATCTTTGCTTTTTAACACTTTAAAGAGTTACAGTGTTAGAAATTATTAAGAACCAAAGAGCTTTTCCTTATGTTGGTTATATCTGTTGTTACTTAATGGATTAGAAATTTAAAATGTTGATTAATTCATTTAAAAACAATAAACCCATTGCATAGTAACAGAAATATTTTAATGAAAAAAATCACATATCACCCAAAAAAAGAAATTTAGTGAGAAGGTTGGTATTGTTTCACATTTTTGCAAATCTCTCCAATGTTTTGGCTTAATAGAAGATAGCTAGATTCTCATCTTTGCGTCTACTTTCAATCTCTTGTGATACGTTGTTTTGGTTGAAATAATGAAGAAAATATGGCCTGACTCAGATAGTAATTGAAAACAAGAAGTATTTGAATAGACTTTTCAGATAATTGTGAATATTCTATTTTGATATTATACTAAAACTTGATAAGCAGTAATTTCTTAAAAGTTAGCGGCATTGTGGAATTTGAAACCTCATCATTGAACTTTTTGAACTCTGGGGCATTAAAATCCATTGGTCTATCCATGACCTGCTTGAAATGGGTCTTTTACTCATACATAATTTTGTAATTCCATGCACTGGAAATTTGGAAAATATCAGTTTACTAAGTTACATAGATCTTCCAAATGTTGATACCTTTAATTATATAATATTAAAAGATCACATTAATACACCCACCAATTTCATCAGAAAAGTCTACTTATTGTGTAGCTGTCAGGATCTCAGTGGCAGATACAAGTTTTCAAAATTCGAATTTTTGCTTGAAAGCTCAAATTCTGTTGTTGGCAACAAGCACTGTCAGTTGTTTTCCTTGAAATGACAGGCTCACTTTCCAAGAAAATGTCTGTCAAATGCCCAAATCTGAATAACTGTAGTTTATCTGTCAGTCATTTCTTCAAGTAAAATTCCACTAAAAAATGGCGAGGTTAGCTCACAACTCGAACAATAGCACAAGTGCTTCTCCTCAAGACAACTATTGTACTTTGCTACACAGAAATATTTTTTGCATACTTCCAATTTTGTCACACAAAACACTAAAAAGACATGGACTCATGTCTGAGATTTAATAAAAGTAATTTTTAACGTGTCAAGGACATTCTTAAGTAAAACTGACTTTTTTTTTTTTTTAATAAAATAATTCTGAGTGGCTGTGAAGAACATAATGACTACCTGTACAATTTGGAACCACTGCCTTGATTCATCCTAAGGCACAGCAGTTTTAATGTCAAAACAGTAAAAAAGGCAAATCACATCTTAGTATTTTGCAAAGTTTCGACTTTTCAGACCCCCTGAAAGGATCTCAAGTACCCCTAAGGGGACCATAGACCACATTTTGAGAACTGCTGACCAAGAATGTCAAGAACACCCCTCAGAGGAAGTGAAAAACAGATTTTCTTCAATTCTCTTAACAAAAAAATCAGTTACCTTCCAGCACTATAGTTAAATAAACTATGGTTTCTTTAGTCATTTACTCATCTTGACTTCCTGAGACTATATCCTAGTCTATAGTTGGACCTCTGGGGAAACCTCAGGTCTCGCCAGTCATCGACCCATCTCTCAGATTTACAATCATTGTTGCACTGCTATACTCATGCTGGTTTTTAATTAACTTTACTTCAGAACAGGGTCTTTTCTTGGTTTTTATTCTGAAGGTAATCCCAGTTTAGGATTTATAGCCTACAATATACTGTTTAGGATTTATAGCCTACAATATTAAAAAAAAAATGCCTCATTTTTACCTTTCTATTATCTATAGGTGTTCTGTAGATTGGAGATCCAAATGGAACCTAAGAAATTGAGTACTATACTTCATAAAGGAGATAGCTATTGCCTCTGAGATTTACAGTTGGAGCTCTAGACTGTCACAAGCCATGGCTTCTTTAGCAATTTTGCATTTTTCTCTTTTCAGACCTTGTAGCTGTTGGATGTGAGCTCAACAGGGTGCATTATCATAATGGCCAAGTGTTTCAACCCAATCCCCTGTTTAGCTGCCTCTGTGTGAGTGGGGTGATTGGATGCACACCTCTGGTCATACCAAAGCTGGCTGACAGTCGCTGCTCTGGGGCTAAAGGTGAAAAGAAGGCTGATCAATCAAACTGTGATTTGGGACCATTACAAGAGCAGCTCTCAAGAAGCTATAAAACTATGCCAGGTACTTATAAGAACAGTCAGCTTTTTCATATAGGACTTTTAGTGGTTTTCTTTCATGTTCCTTTTATACCATATGTACTCAATAAGTACTTATTGACTAGTGAGCAGTGAGATTTAGTCTGAGTGTGCTGTCTTAGTCTTTGCCTCAATCCAGTATATTCTAAGTATCTGAAGTGGAAAGTTTATGATGTTTTAGATTTTTTTGGTACAATATTCCAGTTTTTAAAAGCTCTATTAGGCCAGAAAAATTCTAAATCTCAGTACCTCTGCTTATTCCCAAACAACCTCTTCTCAGGAAAACTGACTAAATATTGTTTACATGTACCCTGAAAAGCTTTTATTTGTATTTGTTATGAGTAAAAACCTTGACCCACTCAATTCCAAAAATTTTCAAAGGCAATTTTTCCATATGATATAAAACAGAAATTGGAGGCTACTGATTAAAATTTATATCTGAGAAATGCCACGTTTGACTTGCAAACATTGTTTCTAAAAATAGAAAACTGATATAAAACTATCATTTCATTCACTCTGAAAACGAAACTCAACAATTACCAGTCTGTCTCTCTCTACATAACCACACACACACACACCTTTAAGTAGTTCACCTATATATATATATATATATATATATATATATAGTCAGAGGAATGAAATGAGATTGTTTATTACTTATCTTGAATACCTGGCCATGTGCAGTTGGTTTAAGTATATGCATAAACTTCGTAATCTGGTCTACTCTAAATTGGCAGCTTATTTAAGTGCCGGAGTATTTTGGGGATGGGGCTTCAAAAATGCCAGCAAATGAAGCACAGATGAGGAAAGACTCAAAAGGGCAATGTTGATGTTTGGTTCTGAGTCACATCTCTGAATCAAAGGTGCCATGGAAACACAAAATATATGTAATATGCTAAAAAAAAAAAAAAAACCTATGTTCACTTATGTGGATATTTAATAAAAGCAACTTTAGTAAGATAAATGAGTTTTACATAATAACTGTATGAAAGAAAGATACTCAGGGATTATGTCAGTTAACTTGTAAAAAATTTAATAGGTTGTGGTAAATTTGTATTTACTGTACTTACTCAGCTACCAACATGACACCTCTAATGCTCTAAAACCACTGCAATTATAAGCCAAATTGTTCTTTTATCAAAGTGTACAGGAACAGTTGGTTTTCTGCATTGGGTCTGAGTGACTCAATGTAAAGCTCTCCTTAGAATCCATGTGCAAGCCTCCCTGGTGAAGGAGCAGCAGTTTTTCACAAGTAAAGACCTTGGGTCAAGTTCAAGTTGGTCTCATTTATAGAACTAGAGCAGTTTCAGTGGATTCACCCAGAGACTGGTTTGAGGGAGGCATCAGATTGTCACTCATAGTGGTTAGTGCTTTGCTATAAAAAAAGAGAAATTCTCCCCAAGTGCTCTCTGGTATTTGAGATATTTAGGCCTAACTATGTTTCAAAGAAAGTATATGTCAGTTTCTCCAACGTCTCTCTTCTGCTTAACTGTGAAGCTGTATTTATGGGCCCAAACAGGAGTTTGGCTTTTAAAATTAACCACAAGTACAAAAACACACACTTTATGATATACAGTTAAGTCCCCAGGTTAAGAACATCCAACCTACGGACAACTCATATTTAAGAATGGACTGCCATAAACCCATTGTATTAAAAATTTGAGGTTCCTAATAACAAATGCACGCCTTGTGATGCTCATGAAAACACTGCATGACTTCAGGGGTTCATCACTTGAGGAAGGACAATGTCATCCGCCTTTTTAAGTCGGGTCATGTTGCCAATAACACTGTGTAACTTTGTATTTGGCTTAAATTTTCCCCTTATTTACCCTTGTAACCATGCCTGCAAAGCATAAATCTGATGAAGTGCTGGAGATGCATCAAAGAAAAGGAGAACAATCACGATTGAAAATGAAGTGGAAATAATGAAATGCCACCGGTCACTGGAAAAGTGTTAGGCTACAGTTGGTCAATGATCGGAAAAGTTTTAAAGGATAAAGTGAGAATAATGGAGCATGTGAAAGGCTCTGCCTTGTGAAAGCTACAATTATTACTAAGCAACACAGGGGTTTAGTTACTGAAATGGAAAGGCTATGATAATTTTGATGATCAAAATCAGTGAAATATGCCTATTAGCCTTACGTTAGTGCAAGAAAAGGCTTGAAGCCTTTTCAATGATTTAAAAGCTGCATGTGCAGCAAGTGAAGGTGACTGTGATAATTTGTTTTGAGTAAAGGTTGGTTCAATCATTTTAAAGCGAGGGCAAATTTACATAACATTCAAATACAAGGGGAAGCTGCGAGTGCCGATGTAAGTGCGCTGTGAGTGATTTTCCTGAAATGTTGAAAAAAATTATTGAGGAGGGAGGTTATTTGCCAGACCAAATATTTAATGTAGACAAGACTGGCTTATAAACTTGGAAAAAAAATGCCTATAAGGACCTAGATTTTGAAAGACGAAAAAAATGCACCAGGGCATAAGGCATCTAAGGGTAGGCTAACGTTATTGCTTGGGGGTAACACACCCGGGGATTTCGAGCTCAAGCCTTTGCTTGTGTATCGCTCCCTAAATCCGAGGACACTTCTCTATATCATTAAGGACTCTCTTCTTGTTATTTGGAAGGCATATGCAAAGGCTTGGATTACAACTGTCATCTCTGAAGATTGGTTCTGAACCATTTTGTCCCTGCTGTTGAACATTATTGTTTGGCCAAGAAAATTTAAGATTCTCCTTGTGCTTGACAATGCACCGAGACATCCAAGCACTTTAGATGACCTTCATCCCAATGTAAAGGTAGTATTTTTACTCCCCAACACCACATTGCTACTTCAGCCAATGGATCAGGAAGTCATAGTCTCTTTTAAGACCAATTATTTACAGCAGACCTTCTCACAAGCAGCCAGGGTTACCCAAGATGATGTTATGAGCTTAAGGGAGTTCTGGAGGAATTATAACGTCTACGATGCCATCCATGCTGAATCTTGGGCTGAAGTGAAGCAGTCAAATATGAAAGGAGTGTGGAACAAATTGTGCTCTCAATTCGCGCATGCTTTTCAGGGGTTTACAGCTGACGATGTCGCTGAAGTCAGGCAAGCTGTTGATATTGGTAGTCAGCTGCTGTTAAGACATCAGTGAAAATGACATCGTAGAGTTACTTGACTACCATGCCAAAGACCTAACCAATGAAGACCTTATGGAACTAGTGCAGTAGATGATAGCATCTGAGAAGACTGGGACCTAAAAACTCCAGAACTGAAAAAGTTTTTGACTCAAGAGTTAGCTGAAGCCTTTCAATTCACTGAAGCAGGGATGGCAAAGTTAGAGGAGCAAGATCCTAATACAGAGGTTCACCAGTTTACCGTACAGTTACCGAGGGCCTCAGCTGCTACAAGGGCATTTATGACGAGAAAAGGAAAAGCTCTGTACAAACCTCCCTGATGCCTATTTCAAGAAAATTGACTCCAGTAGTAACCCCCACCCCTCCCAGCCCAGCAGCAGAATCAAACCCTGACTCTCCAGCAACAGGTCTATCCTCTCCAAGACCAGCCCCATCATCTTGAACAGCAGCCATCTCTCCAACATCTTCTCCTGCATTATCCAATTATTGTTATGTTACCTCACGAATGCCCCTTCCGGCATACAAGACATCTATGAAACGAGAGTAAGTGTTAACCTTTAATCATGATCTTTTTTCTTTTTAAACTGTTAAGACAGTTCTATTAAGAACTGTTTAATATTTTTTTATAGTACTGCATACCTACACGGACACATACACAGAGATTGTCTCTCTTCAGTGCAGCACCGTATGTTACTTTTATTATTACTGTATTATTATTATTATGTTGAAGATGTTTTAGTGTATTTGAAGGGTTTTATATGCATAGAAAGGTAAAATATACTATATACTAAGACAAGCATTCGACTGACGTGAAATAAACCATATGTACCTGTTCTGACTTACCTACAAACCGACTTAAAGACAGATTTAGGAACAGATCTTGTTCGTAACCTGGGGACTGCCTGTATTTGTGATAGTAATTTATATACTTAGTTAATTCCAGACGATCTTTGGGTGGAATTCAGCTTTTGCTTGGTCAGTCTGAAGAAATGCAATGACACGATGCCCTCATGCTTTCCTCAAAGCTCACAACACTAAGCTTTTACTTTTAAAATCTCTCTTCTAGTTTTCTTGCTTTTTAACGAATGTTAAACGAATTCCTGAACTGCAACTCTTGGCTTAACTTTAAGTGGGGTTACTTGTAATGCAATAATCTAACCTACCTTTATTTTTGCAGATGTGTGCCAGGCTTTTAATATGCTTCCTGCACTGAGGTCTTTAAACTGCTGTCTACCTTCAAGGTATCTTCATGTTTCTGCTCCTCTCCTTCCGTTCTATGTGCAATTTCAAGATCTTACTATTATAAAACTGAAAGCAGTGCCATTTTATTCAAAGATAACACAAAATTCCAAATGACTAATATTTCTTTTCAGGAAGGCATTTTTTCTTTTTTTGTCTTCTAAGAGTATTAAGTGAAGATTTTGAGGTAATGTATCCCAAATTTTGCTATGTTCAACTGCAGACTCAAATCACCACCTTATTCCCAAAGCATCCATTTTAGGATGCACGCTAATCTCAAGGAAATGCTGTGAGACAGTACAACAGTATGTAGTTTACTTAAAGTAAACCACGGACCTGATTCATTCATGAGTAGCACGAGGAGCTCCCAAATGTTTTATACGGAGATAGAAGAATTATTATACCCTCTTTATATTCTCATTGTTCACCCCTCTCCCTTTCCTGTTTCTCCCAAGCAGCAGGCACCGGAGGGGCTGTAACTATCTACCCACCCATCCCTCTGACCACCCATCCACAGATCCATCCATCCATCCATTCATTCCCATCTCTTTCCATAAGCGCTGTGAAATAGCTAGCCAATGGAGAGAGTAGTGTGGGCCTGATACCATAGGGAATGTGACAATTAAGCTGAGGGAACACAATAGAGTACACATTTGCAATCGCTTAGTATATAACGATTATTTAGATAGTTTAAACTCAAAAACCAAACCCACTGCCCATCAAGCTGATTCCGGCTCATAGCAACCCTATAGGACAGAGTAAAACTGACTCAGGGTTTCCAAGGAGTGGCTGGTGGATTCAAACTGTTGACCTTTTGATTAGCAGCTTGAGCTCTTAACCACTGTGCCACCAGGGCTCCTTAGTTTAGTTCAATGTAATTTTACTTTGATCTTTAGATAATTTTATAAAAGACTAGATGAAAACAAACGAAGGAAACATAACTGGTCTCAATGATATGATAGTCTATCTCCCAAATATAATTTTTGTTATATTAGATTTTAACATGTAAAATTTAACATTAAGACCACATCATTCTAATTAATATCTTGCATTCCCTAATCCTACTAACATCTATTTCAATGTTTATTGGCAATAATATCAACAGTGAGGCAAGAAACAGGAAAAAGGCAGAGATCAATCAGAACATAAGCTTAGGTTTAGTACTCAGAGGACGGGCTAAGAAAAAAGAAGCAATGGGTAAATCTACTCAGTTTTTCAAACAAAGTATTTTTATTCCTCCTAAGAAAATGGACTGTAAAACTTGGTTGAAAGCTGATTTGGAGAGGAGAAAAAAGGGAGATAGAATGACCAGTAAGACTACAATCTTCATCTGAGTTACGTTATATAAAAATAAAAATATTCAACTCTGTTAACTATTAGTTTAAAAATGATTAAAAATTACCTATCTACACACATACATACAAATGTATATATATGTGTTTTTCTCCATCTATTTTAGCTTATAGGAATCTCCCACTTATTTGGAAAAGAAAATGTCTTATGCAGGCAACAAAGTGGACACCTTGTTCCAGAACATGTGGGATGGGAATATCTAATAGGGTAACCAATGAAAACAGCAACTGTGAAATGAGAAAAGAGAAAAGACTGTGTTATATTCAGCCTTGCGACAGTAATATATCAAAGACAGTACAGGTAAAGTTTAATTAGATTTAACTTAATTAGAATTCAATATTAAGAGACTCCTAAAATGTGTTTGTGCATGTTTTGGAGGGAGGGATGTGTTGTGGTTTTTGGTTTTTATAAAATTAAAACAATTCATTATAAGTCTTAAAGTCAAACTAAGGAGAAAGCAGATATTAATCTGTTTGTCGTTGTGTGCCGTCGAGCTGATTCTACTCATACTTGGTGGGAAAAATTTTCCCAAGCAGAGTGGTAACGTTATCGTGTTGATTCTAGACACTTAACAGTTTAGTCATGTGTGTGTCTTGATCAGGCTGGTTTGTTGTGGTGTCTCACACTGTGTATCGTTCTAAGAGTTGATCTTTTTCAGATTTTACCTTCTTTTTTCTGTACTAATTTTATGGAATAGGATCAAAACAATAAGTATTTTGGTTGCTACATCATAATTAATAAAATAGTACATTATGAACATCAGAGTAAAGAAGTGCTGATCTTAGTTATATATCACTAACTTGGAGGGGGACCACACCATTTCCAAAATGTTCCTTTAGACAGCAACCTTGCCAAAGGGCTATGATAAAATCCTGTAAGATTGCTAGGTATAACTAGAGCTGGTTCTTTTAGAACTAGGCAATATGACTGTCCAAACAGAGTAATTTTTAGAAATGCTACAAAATCCTTCTCATCCTCAACTTCATTCCCTATCACATTAGCAAGTCGACAATTCAATTTTAAAGGGTTTAAGATATTTATCTACCCACCCACACAAAACTGTCTGAGATGTGTTAGGGAATTTGCTAAGTCTTAGGAATATAAACATTTAATAGGACATTGCCCCTGATATTAAACAGATTAGATAAATTTCCACCTATTGTGGAATTGGGTAAAGCAGAGATAGCAAAAACCACTGGGGAGTGGGTCCTCTAATAGGATGGAGCAAGAACAAGGACGACAGACTGTTGATAAGAGAGTGCTGGAAGTCACTAAATAGCAACTATTATTAATGTACTTGAAATAATTACAGTTATGTGGGTGAGATAAAATGATTCTGTAGTATCACCTTTCTAAACTCTTAAAATCAAATTTAAAGAATGATTTCTTAATTTTTTGTATCTTTTTAGATTCCCAAAGGAAAAACATGCCAACCTACTTTCCAACTCTCCAAAGCTGAAAAATTTGTCTTTTCTGGATGTTCAAGTGCTCAGAGTTACAAACCCATTTTCTGCGGGATATGCTTGGATAAGAGATGCTGCATCCCTAATAAGTCTAAAATGATTACCATTCAATTTGATTGCCCAAGTGAAGGGTCATTTAAATGGAAGATGCTGTGGATTACATCTTGTGTATGTCAGAGGAACTGCAGAGATCCAGGAGATATATTTTCTGAGCTCAAGATTCTTTCAAAATAAGCACATGGCAGAAAAGTTCTGGTTAGTGAATCATGTCATTACACCAAAGAATCTGAGTGGTTACACAAGGGTGGCAAATCAACTTTATTGGTTAAAAAAATAAAATACCCCAAGGAGTAAGAACGCCTAGCTATTCTCAGATCACTGCATTTAAGGCATTAGAAGCTTTTTAAAAAGTTCTCTTAAAAATATATATGAGATTTGAAAAATGTAAAATAGAACTCTTATGTCTAAAATTCGTCCTGTAATTATGTAATAACTAGAGTGATACTTAACTCCAATTAGGAATTCCATGTATATTGGAAAAATTATACAATTTACAAGACATTTTATTCTACAAAAAAAATGGAATATGCTTTTCTGTGTTGAAGATGTGTAAAAAGCACATCAAATTTTTAAAACTTTATCAGTTCTCTGACAATGGAGTCTAGACTCCCATCAGATGATAATCATCATAGGGTTAGCAAGATTCTGGATTAATTCTTGAACAGAAATAAGATTAAAGTATACATATATTTATAATTTTCATTGCCTTTCAGGAAGGAGAGAATGAAAGTTCTCTGGCCATTGTTAACAACTGTAATCTAAAAGTTTTTACATCAAACACTAAAAATAAAATAAAATTCCCGTGATAAAAACCAAAAACACTATCATTACTCTGCAAAGGAAAGAAACCTTAAAAACAGAACAATAAAGAAAGCACACGACAGATTGTTTTGGCTTGAAAATAAATTGTTCCTAACATTACTTCATTAAATGATAAATCAACCTGTGAATTTCAAATAAGTTATGATTTCAAATAAATACTGTTAAAGACAAAAACTGTAGGTTATAGTAATTGGAACAATTTCACTAGACTATTACAGCCACTTATTGCCAAGTATGGAAGAACATATCAAGCTTAGTAATGTTCCATTCACTTGCATTAATGGTGACATGCAAAATAATAACAAGTAGCAATATTCAAAATTATGGACATTTATTATAAAATAAAGTGGTTTGATAAAAAAGAAACTATATTTAAAAATAAATAAAAATACATGTTAAAATAAAGACATAAACTGTGATTCTTTTGAGTGCAAACAACAACAAAAAAGAAACAAAACCTCCTTAACAGTTATAATAAAACCTACCGCTGTAAGTTAAGTGGCTATTATATAGAAATCAGGAGAATTTAAACCTAAGATCAAGATATAAATTATAAATAAATACAAAAATATATCTGTACAAGATTTTTATTAAGGACATTATCAATGTATATATGCCTAAATATGAGACTGCTAATAAAATGTTGAAGAACTTTGCCCTTCTCGATTTTAGAAAAGGGTATTTTTCTGAAGACAAATGTTTAAAGTTAAGGTACTAGGACTTCATGAATTTCACCCACTGTTACCATCAGCAAATTGTGATTAAATGGCAGCTGCTCTTTTAGACAAAAACAAAACAAAACAAAACAAACTTCCTGGTAATATAAGAAACACAAACCGAGCTTTCTGAATCACAAAAACGCTGAAACAGAAAGGTAAAAGTGACTAAAAAATGTGAAATTAAGTAATAATAAAAGTTGCATATATATACATATCTATTTTTACATAGCTATGCTTAGTCTAGGAAAATCTTGTACAGGCATGCTTTTTGTGGCATCCAGTTGATTATATTCCTGTATGAGTGCTGATAAAGATGACACAGCTTCAGTAAAAGAGCTTTCCTCCATTCCTTCAACTTGTAAATAGTGATGAAGGTGAGCCTACAAATAAATAACTGGATGCAGTTTACCGTTTTAGGAAATTTAATACATACAGCAATCTGTAAGATGAACGCATCTTAAATAGCCAAAATAAATACATATAGTTACAAAGCTGTACTGATAATTACCTTTTTCTTGTAGAGCCTCATGAACCTTTCTCTCAGTTCCACAAAGGTAGGTTTCACGCAAGTGTTATTTGCTAAAGCTAATAATGAATGAGAATGGCCCACAGGAGGTACTGAACACAGGCTGGTCTTCCAGCCTTCTTGATTCCAGGACACAAACTGTAGCGAAGGTTTTAATCTGAGATAGAAAAATTCAAAGGTAAGAATTAAGGTACTAAAAATGTCTGCCATATTACAGAGCCTGTATTAGTTAAACGAGGACATTATTGATGATATCATTCTAATTGCTTAGTTTATAATGTAAATCATCTACTTCTTACTATTAGCAATATCAAAATTAGTTCAGGGAACAGTCTCATAGTGAATTATGGAACATGTAGTAGAAAGACATTAAATTGGCTGTAATGGTTATTCAAAAGGTTGGAAACACATTCCTTAACCTTAGACATGTGGAGATATAAAAAGAAATGAACCTATTATAATTTTCCTTACTTTGCAATTCAACAGACGTAAATAGTAAGACATAAATTTAGAAGTAGTAGTAACAGTAGTACCAGTTGTAATAATAAGATAGTAACAAAATCAGCTCAAATAACAAAATCAGCTAAAACTTAGAACAAGTTCAGAAATTAAAAGACTTCCCATATATCATTTAATACTCATAAATAACAACTTTGTACTATTATCTGTATTTTATATTTGAGAAAATAAGACAGAGAGAAGCTAAGTAGCTTGCTTGAGGTCACACTTTAGTAGTAAGTGATAGAATTTGAAGAAAGGCAGTCTTAACTACTCTGCTACACTGTCCCAAGTAGTGCCCATGATGAAATTATCTTGAAAAATATAAGATCAAACCTTTCAATATTTCTGCGAAGATCTGAAATCTGTACATTTCCTCTAACCATTAAGGCACAGGCGAGGTAGAGACTATGTTTGGGGTCAGCCTGAATTAGCTGGTGATCTTTGCTAAAAGCATCTGAAAACATCTGATCCAACCTAGAACAATGAAAGTGTCTTATTTATACAAAATATTACTTCTTTCTTCTATGTATAAACTATAAAATAGTCATCTATAGATAAATAAACCACACACAAATATATGCCCAATCTCAGCTATCATTTTCTCAAAGTAATCTTGATGACAAGCATGAGAAGAGAGGAAATCATACAGTTATCTATCCTTTTCTTTTTGGGAAAAAAGAAATGCTTCTGCAATATGGTGGTGATTTCTGGTAGCCACAGAATCTTAACCGTAGCATTAATGAGCTCTATGCAGTACTGATTTCTGAAACTTACTGTATCATTATTTAGTTCAGTATACTCATCTACTTTATAGTATCAGAACTATCATAGCTAATTAAAAGCCTATACTGCTAAGATTACTTGGTCTCTGTAAAATATATTACATCATAAATTAGTTAATAATTAGTAGGAAACCATCAAATAAAACCATCAGATAAAACTCTGTAGCAGTGTTCCAGAAAGGGGAGACTTCTTAAGATTCTCTTTTATCCTTCAGTTAAAGACAGGAAGATAAATGTGACTGAAAAATTTTGTATCTAATACACAGCCTCCTAGGTCCTTAATATGGCCATATTCTGGTTCTTAAATTCCATTTAACTCAATATAAACAAGCCTAGGTCCCTTCGATAATTCTAGGCAGAGCTCTGTGAGCTGAACCTGTGGAATGTCTGGAAAGAGGTGCCGAAACTATGCTGCCTATTCATTCAACAGTTATTTACTAAATGCCTACTATGTGCCAGGTCCTATTATAAGTGCAAGGGGCCCAGCAGGAGAGATAAAAATTTCCTGCCCTAATGGAGCTTGGAAACTCTGGTGGTGTAGTGGTTAAGAGTTCGGCTGCTAACCAAAAGGTTGGCAGTTCAAACCCACCAGATGCTCCTTGGAAACCCTACGGGGCAGTTCTGCTCTGTCCTTTAGGGTCAAAATGAGTCAGAATTGACTCGACGGCAATGGGTTTGGTTTTGGTTTTAATGCAGCTTACGTTATATCCTGATTATTCTAAAGTAGAAGGGATAGAGGACTCCTTACGGAACAGGTGGCCTTTGGGGAATTCATGAATCCTCTGTCATTGTGTTCAAAGTTCTGTAGCATATGTGCCTTTGGGCATTTTTACATATACGCGGTACAAATGTTTCATCAGAAGAGGACACCCAGAAAAGGATAAGCACCCCTATACAACAAGTAGGCAAACACGCTTTTGATTTTTCTTCTCATCCCATAAATTATAAAAACTAGTAAAAAACTCTTTATAATTACTGGATCACTTATCTTTACTTACAGTAGAAACACACAGTTTCAAGAAATATATACACCCTCTCCTATGTGCTTATTGCTTATTTTCTTTTGATACAAACGGACTAGGTACATAACTAACATTTATTAACATAAACTAAAGTCAAAACTATTCTCACTTGTTTGGAAACTACTTATAAGAAATTGACACAGTTTTAAAACTATGCCTTCTAGTATCATAATTTAAAAAAAAAAAACATATTATTTAACCACGGATAAATGTGTCCATATGCTGATGTGCAGTTCTTTGAAATATCTACGGTACAGCAAAAGCAAAAATAAAATGAACAAAGACAGTAAATTCCTTATAGATTTTCACTAATACATCTTAACTAAAAACAAACTTTACTACAAATTGTAGTATGATTATATAAATTGAAAAAAAAACACTGACAGAAATATGATTTTTATCAAAATATAACAAAATCACAAGAAAGTCATTTGGCTTTGAAATATTCAGGTTGAAGGACCAAGTCAAAGCATTTTTTCTTCATGCTGAATTAGAATTTTCATGTCTTTTTCTTTTTTTTAAAGAATTAACTTCAAATATAAAAATATCAGAATTATCACTATTGTGCAATAAACATTTTAGCACAAATTTACATTCTACGTGCCCACATTAAAGGTGTATGTTTTACTTTAGTAAATTTTAACATGCTGGGCTGATAATGGGGCTCTGGTAGCACAGTGGTTAAGAGCTCGGCTGCTAACTAAATGGTTGGCAGTTCAAATCCACCAGCTACTCCTTGGAAACCTTATGGGGCAGTCTTACTCTGTCCTATAGGGTCACTATGAGTCTGAGTTGACTCAATGGCAAAGGGTTTGGTTTTTGGTTTTGGGCTTATAGTAACAGTGAACATTTAACGAATGATTACAATGTTCCACTCACTGTGCAAGCTGCTTAACTTGTTCAGCAATAACACTATGATTAGGTAGTTTTCATCCTTTCCTATATAGATGAGGTATAAGTAAGTTTATGGCGACCCCACATGTGCAGAGTAGAACTGCACTCCATAGTGTTTTCAAGCACAGGTTTCAGAAGCAGATTGCCAGGCTTTACCTTTGAGTTGCCTCTGGATGGGTTTGAACTGCCAACCTTTCAGTTAGTAGTCTAGTGCTTAATCATCTGCACCAAACAGGGACTTCACGAGGCCACCGTGAGTCGGAATCGACTCGATGGCAACTAACAACGACAACATACGTTAAGTTATCCAAGATCACAAAGGCAGTGGTAGAGTAAGACTAAATTTAGGCCTGGCTCTAAAACGAATGGTAAAACCCATGGTAAACTCAGTAGTAACTTATGATGAATTCTTTACCTTAACTTATAAACGTAATCATCAATGTTATACTAGTAAGATTTATTTTAAATCAGGAATTAATTTTTCTAAATCATCAGGTCAGCAGCACCCCATGTAGAAACAGAGTCTTACCTATTAGTTGGCATAACTGGTCATTTGCTACTGGCTCAAATAAGCTTATCAATCAGTAACACTTATGACATCCTCACATGGTAGACATGTTATCTTGCCAATACTTTAACTATAAAAAGGAACCTTTAATCTAGTTTTCACTTTCTTATTTACACATGCTCCCCTAATAACTTTAATAGGACCCTTTCCCTCAGTCAGCAATGAATGACAATGTGAAGTTTTCAAGCTCAACATCACTGTAAATCTTATGAGTGTCTTTTGAAACTACACTTTTTGTTAAGTAAATTGATGTAAGTTTTATGCTGAAAAATGACAGGTACAGAAAACAAGATGCTGTGCCAATGATATATAATAGCTACCACACAGAGAAATATCTGAAAGTCACTTATGGTGCTAGGGCTATGATAAGAGTTTTAGAACACACTTATTTGATCTACACAATAAGCATATGATGTAGGTACTCTGAATCTCACTTTTAGAGATGAGAAAACTAAGGGGAAGGGTTTAAGTCACCTACCTATCCAAGGTCCTGTAACAAGTAAGTGACAGAATTGTAATTCAGACTCAAGTTTGTCTGACTTCACAAAGACCTTAATCTTTTTCACTAAAAATTACTTCTATTAATTTTCATAAGCCAAAACATTATCACTTCATTTAATTTCAGATAGTTTAATATCAGCATTTTGAAACAATGACTTCTTATTCAGAGGCATTCATCTAATGGAAAAATGGCTGTCATGAGCTGTATTTTTATATACTCACAAATAAAATGTATAAAAATAAGATGTAGGAAGAAATAACTAGTATTACCATAAACTTTTTTCCTCAAAATTTAAAAAAATGTTTCAAGTTCTCAAGAAATCGGAAAAAAAAGTTACAATATCTTACCTTCGAGGAGGAATGTTAACATCTGCTAGTGTATACAGAGGCGTTAGGCTTGATACAAGATAATGAAGTTGGGGAAAAGGAACTAAATTCATGCTGATTTCATTAAGGTCCATATTAAGAGACCCTTCGAACCTTGCAGAGCTAAAAAATCAACATTAAAACAATGAGAAAGATTTTAATTTAAAAATGATACACTTTGAATGTAGCTTGATTTATTCAGCTGGCATTTTCTCAAATCCTTTTGTACACTCTTCTTTAGTGTGGAATATATGCTCTTTTTTTTTTTTTTTTGGGCTATGTTAGTGAAACAGTATCATGAACAATTGTGTGCGGAGATACTCAAAATATAACACACAACAACTATGTTGTTCTTGTTGTGTGCCATTGAATCAATTCCAACTCACAGCAACCCTATATGTTACAGTAGAACTGCCCCACAGGGTATTCTAGAGTGCAGTCTTTATGGAAGCAGATCATCAGGTCTTTTCTCCCATGGAGTGGCTGGTAGGTTCCAACCACCAACCTTTCAGTTAGGAGCCAAGTGCTTAACCACTGTTGCTCCTTACAACAAATATAGCAATACTTACTTCTGGATTATCTGAAGTTTAACCAACATATTATTATAGTTTCTCATTACACATATAAAAATATCTTTTTTATAAACACACTTTATATTAAGTTAAGCACATATACCACAGTTGACAGTTAATTCCGACTTATGTTGACCCCATGTGTTGCAGAGTAGAACTGCGCTCCATAGCATTTTCGTGGCTATGGCCTTTTGGAAGCAAACTGCCACGCCCTGAAAAAGGTGTCTTTGGATGGGTCTGAACTGCCAACCTTTTGGTTAGTAGTCGAGTGCTTAACCGTTTGCGCCACCTAGAGACTATTAAACACATATAGGTCAACCGTAATTTAACTATTCTACAAATTTTACTAAATTCCTCAAGGGTCTGCTAAATACACTCTGGAATCTTGACTATAATAATGCCAGAGTAATCTTTTGGATCAAAGTCAAGGATATCTTTTAGACCAGCTAATGAGGAAGTACAGATTAAATGATTTAAAAGATGAAGACATACTACAGCAAAAAAATGTTTATCTAACCAAGTGTTTCTCAAACTTATCTACCACAAAATCTTTTATCATCTAACACTTATTAATACTCTATGGAACGTACTTTGGGAAATAGTGCTTTTTTAAAATTTCTATGACTGATCTATCACTCCAAGATCTAAAAAAAAAACAAAACAAAATAAAAACAAAAGAGGTTCCTAAGACTCAGACTAACTAAAAAATACTACTATCCAGACATGTAAAACACAGTCAAAAGCACAGTGAAATTTATAAACTGCCCTTACGTATGCCATCAATAGGATTACCTTGTGAGGTTGAGCAGCAAATTTGCCACAATGTTGTTCATTGCATCAAAGGGCTTCTCCTGGCGGTTTTTTAAAGCCCTGGCACTTGACGTAACCAGACTCTTTGGTTTCACAGTTTTACCCAACTTTCCAGAATTCACTATGACGTCAATTTTGCTAATGATGTCAAATAAAGACTTTTGAGGGAAAAATATCGGGAGAGAAGCTATTAAGAAGAGTGGACACAGATGACATTTTACTAGGAAGGGAAGAAAAGAAATAAAAGCAATTTAAACTTATTTTTTTCTCTAAAATGGGAAGGCTGAAAAGGTAAGAGGAAAGAATGCCTCATATAAACACATAAGCATAAAACAGGATTGACCATATCTCAAAGTTGTCTATAAATCAATGTTATTTCTTACTTGATTGTCAATAGGCAACACACAATCTGCATGCTCATTAAGTTCCTTCATTGCCAAGATGCTATTATAAGGTGAGGTTATGACATCATCCTCACCAGAAGGATAAACTGAAGTCACAAATCTGTATACTTCTGGGAATTCATCCTTAAGCACCTTTAAAAGAAATGTGCCAAGTCCAGATCCTGTTCCTGAGGATAAAAATTTCACAACAAAACCGCATAAATGATTCAGAAGCAATTGCTTAGGAATTTAAATTTTATGTTGGATTTGTAGAAATATGTGTGTTAAAGTCTTAAATTATCAATTTATTCCTGTGATTGTATATTATTAACTAATCTAATTTCAGATAAACAAATGAAGACAACATGGGTAGTGAGGCTTAAAGTCCTGAATTTCATCTCTGGCTCTGACCATAAGGTTGGGCTGGCTTTCTATAGTTCACTTGTTCACATTTAAGTTTATATACATATAGATATACACATATATGTATACACACACACACGCTACCGAAAGAACTGAAAGAGCAAAAAATTCAACTAAGACAGTATTTAGTTTTTACTTGGTGTTAAGCAATTTTAAAATAAAAAGCTGTTATATATATAAATACACATACACATGAACATACACACTTAAGATACTTCTATTTTGTCAGGCATAGGTCTGAAAACAAAACTTATGCTTGCAAAATGAATTCCCACTTGTTCTTTAACATTGTTATAGGCAAACAAGTGAATAACTTTACCTCCTCCCATGGAATGTATTATAAAGAAACACTGCAAACAATCACACTGCTCTGCTGATTTTCTGAGTTTCTCCAAAATTTGTTCTTGGTAAAGACTGCCAAAAACATTGTGACCTACAGCCCTGAAAAAAAGAAAACAGATTAAAAACAAAAATCTTGCATTTATATCTAAAGTACAATTAAAAAAAAAATCTTCATTTATTATTTGTTGATTTTATAATTTCTGAGCTATATAATAAGGTTATAGAAAAATTTCAAGAAGTGTTTTTATTGGACTAAATATATACTATTTTATAGTTTCAAGACAGTAAGTCATATTATAATATCCTAAAAATAATGGATAGAAAATTTAACAAATATTATGTATCTATAATGCTCAGATATCTTGGTAATATAGTTCATTATCAGTCGATATTAAACTATAGTTTTCTAAATTTATGTTCTCTATCTTTTCCTTTAAGGTACAGTTACAACAGGAAAGATTTCATTACATACAGATTCGTCTCTTCTCCATTTAAAATAAACTATGAATTGCAGTGGTTTTATAAAGAGCAGAATGTAGTCAATTAGAAAGACACAATAAAAACTTTTGAACTAGTCTAATATGGCTTAAAATATGAGAAATTGGCTTAAAATATGAGAAAAACATTGGTCACATTATTACCAGATAAAATGGCACATAGTAGAAAACTGATATTCATGCGGAATATCACAGCAAGCCTTCTTAGCTGCTCAAATTTGCAAGTATCGCTATAAGAGTGATTTCGCCACAAAATACAGTCAGGTGTAACTCAAAAATTACATAGTAAAACCAAACAACAATTTAGCTTAACTAGTAAAGAAAGTCTGCTTTGAGCATTATATTTTAAGAGCTATCTATATGAGATTAAATCCACAATGGCAGCTAGAAAGATCCGGTATGAAACTTAGGGGGCAGTGAGTTTATGTTAATGGGGGAGTAACAATTAGGAAAAGGAGGGTGAGCATGACTGTACAACTTGAAGAATATAATCCATGTCACTGAATTGTACATGTAGAAATTACTGAATTGGCGTACGTTCTGCTGTGTATATTCTCAACGACAAATAAATTACTAAAAAATAAAGTTACATAGTAAATTCTACAACTACTAAAGAAAAACTAAGTGAGATGCAGTGTTAGGTGATCAGGTGGGCTCACTGATTCAGCACTATACAACATAAAAGACTGAAGTTGTCAAGGATTTCATTTTACGTGGATCCACAATCAATGCCCATGGAAGCAGCAGTCAAGAAACCAAAAGATGTATTGCACTGGGCAAATCTGCTGGAAAAGACCTCTTTAAAGTGTTAAAAACCAAAGATGTCACTTTGAAGACTAAGGGGTGCCTGACTCAAGCTACAGCATTTTCAATTGCCTCATATGCACATGAAAGCTGGACAATAAGGAAGACTGAAGAATTGATGCATTTGAATATTCTTCACAGTTTCAATCTAACTTCTCTTTAGTGGACTTTTCTTCCACTAAAGAAAAGTAACCATTACATATTTAAGGGCCAAACACACCCCTCAGGCTGACTGAATCCTGGGACAGGTCTCCCTTGTACCTCTGTATCAATTTTATTAAATTCAACTGATGTGAGAACTTATGATAAAGTCAAGTAATATAGGTAAAATAACAGTTTGTAAAGGTATTTAATATTACTATTGTCACTAGTTAGCATTATGCAAGAATCAATTTACATAGAGGAATTTGGAAAATTAATTTTTTCCCGATTCTTCTTTTTCTTAAAAAAAAAAAAAGGTACTGGGAGTAAGAATAAATACAGGTGGCTCTGAAGCATTGTGAAATATCATGTTTTTTGTGAGGCAATCATTTTTAAGGTAAAGATAACGGGCTGAAAGGCCTACAGTTATATGTGGTAAGTTACACCTTGCTTTCACGCCAGCAGGACCTATTAAAAAGAAGGCAAGGTTTTTTTCCAGGTTGACATTCAAGTTTTATGTTCAGTATATTTATTCTCACCAATTATTCCCTGAGCCAGAAACATCAGTGATGAGCTGCTTGCTATCAAATACATCTCTCAATGGTCCCTGTAGAATTTCATTCACTACTCCTTCCTCCATGTCAATCAAGACAGCCTGAGAAAGAAATACAAGCTAATCAGCATATTTTCCTTTAGAATTAGTCACTCTGTAAATGAAAAGAATTTAGTTAAAAGCTGCATTGTTCTTTTTATTATTTAAGCTTAATCAAAATCTTTATGTAGAATCTTTTGTAATAATTAAAAAAGAATTCTGCTGGAAAGATGGAATCCAATTAAGAACTGGATGTTATACTCTTTTATTCTACTCTAAAATGCCAAGTAGGGAAAAAAGGGAACCGAATAATCCCTTCAACTGAATTTCTAACGATCTTTTTATTTGTATGCATATGTGACTATACATTTCTTGAGAACAAGGTCTCAAAAATCTAGCAGGTAACCTTAACTAGAAAAAATTCCCAATAAAAGTAACATACATTGATGTATTTACTCACTAGCAACAACCTTGCTGTACTCGTATGAGTCACAGGCAAAAACTGTCCAACCGAAATCAGCAAACTTACTATTATGTACAAGGCCAAGGCACTGGGTAGACTCAAAGATGACAACAGGGTCCCTTCCCCCAAGTAACCTCATGATCTAGTTCCTTACCACAAATTTTACTGATATGGGGATAACCTATATTACTAAGGATAAAATGAGAATATAAAACATAAAATTAACCATGGAACAAAAAATCATCACAGAAAAAAGGCAGGAAGGAAATATGACAAGACGTAAGCAGGAATAACTTGGCAGTAGGATTATGTCCTGTCTCTTTATTTGTACTTTACCTCCCACATTTTCTGGAGCCCTGGTGGTGTAATGGTTAAGAACTTGGCGGCTAACCAAAAGGTTGGCCGTTCAAATCCACCAGCTGCTCCTTTGGAAACCCTGTAAGGCAGTTCCACTCTGTCTGATAAGGTCACTATGAGTTGGAATTGACTCGACAGGTAATGGGTTTCATTTTTTCCCCCCTATATTTTCTACAGTAAGAAAAACGAAAATGCAAAACAAATAAAAGAAGCAAAGCTGAAAAAGTATTCTGAAATAACATGAAAACCAGTTGCCATCGAGCTGATTCTGACTCACGCGATCCCATGTATCAGGTAGAACTGAGCTCCACGGGGTTTTCAAAGGCTGATTTTTCCTAAGTAGATAATCAGGCCTTTCTTCTGAGGCACATCTTGGTGGAGTTGAACCTTCAATCTTTTGGTTAACAGCCGAGCTGCGTTAACCGTCTGCACCACCCAGGAACTCCTGCAATAACCTTAAGATATGCTACGAAGCTATCTATTAACTCCTTGATTCAGTGTCACAGAGAAAGTGCTTGGTTTATAGATGTTTTTAGTCCTTGGGACCCTATAAACTTTGAGCACTTACTACATACCACTGTTCTAAGTGCTTTATAAGTACCAAGCAATTTAATCCTCACAACTCTATGCATAGGTACTATAACGACATCCAATTTACAGATGAGGAAAATGAGGCATAGAAAATTTTAAATAACTTAACCATGATCACCCAGCTAATAAGTGGTGGAACTGATTCAAACCAGCTAGCCTGGCTGCAGAATCTACACTTTTAACTACCAAACTCTACATACTACTATCTAACCAAAGGGAGACAGTCAAGTTTAATACTTGTAATGTATTGACTACAGCAGAGTTACAATATATGCACATTTACATTCTGTGATTTTACTATGCTACTGAAAGATGTATGATTAAAATAGTACACTACAGTAGTATATTACAAAGACTAAAATTGTACCTTTCAAATGTATTCTTTTATATACAGCAATCATTATACATACATTTTATATATAGGACTGTAGAAGGTAATTTATTAGCGATTTTAGGGATTTTTAAGGCTATTTCTTACAATATGCAATTTTTACCTTACACGATTTTAACACCTAACCAACTGCATGAGGACTGTATGTGCAAACGGCAGTATTAGAAGTTTGTAAGCTTAAACAAACAAACAAAAAACCCAGCTTTTATACGTTCTTGTTCCAAATAGATTTATTGAGATGATTTGTGGAAGATTAAACATACGTACTCACAAAATAATAAACCATAAACCCTCAAATACCTTGCAATCTGGCAAAGAAACAATATGAAGAGGATAGACTGACAGTTATACAGCTCCTGAAGTGAGTTTGATAGGCCCACCACTTTCCTAGTCATTTAGCATTAAGACTCTGACAATAATACAGGCAGTCCCCAGCTTACAAACAAGATTCGTTCCTGTGTCTTCAAAATGAATTTGTAGGTAAGCCAGAACAGGTGTAACAGTTCTTTTTTTTTTTAAATTTTTTTTTTTATTGTACTTTAAATGAAGGTTTACAGAATAGTTTCTTATTAAACAGTCATTACACATATTGTTTTACGACATTGGTTAACAACCCCACAACATGTCAACACTCTCCCTCCTCGACCTTGGAGGACTTTTTTTTTGGTGAAAATATACATTGCCAAAGTTACACCATTTCAGTGACATCGATTACATTCTTCCAGTTGTGCTGCTATTCTCACTATCCTTTTCCAAATTATCCCATCACCATTATCTTCAACTCACTGCCCCTAGGCTTCCCATCAAATCTTCCGAGTTGCTGTTGTCAATTTGATCTCACATGGATAATTTTTTTTTTTTTGTACCTTAGATAAAGGTTTGCAGAACAAATAGT